AGACAGACAGACAGACAGACAGACAGAAAAGGGAAACTTCTGGGATAGTATCAATGTTCTACAATTGATCCAAGTGATATATATATTTATATTTCAAATAGGTGTATGTATTTCTCAAAGTCTATCTAGTTGTACACTTAAGATTTGTTCATCTTATTTTATTTATTTATTTATTTTTCAGACAGGGTCTCACTCTGTCACCCAGGCTGGAGTACAGTGGCACGATTTCAACTCACGGCAACCTGGACCTCCCGGGCTCCAGTGATCCTCCCACCTCAGCCTCCCAAGCAGCTGGGACTATAGGTATGCGCCACCATGCTCAGCTAATTTATTTTATATTTTTTGTAGAGATGGGATTTGCCATGTTGTCCAGGCTGGTCTTGAACTCCTGGGCTCAAGTGATCCTCCTGCCTCAGCCTCCCAGAGTGCTGCAATTACAGGCACCCGCCACCATACTCAGCCAAGATTTGTTCATTTTACTTCATGTAAGTTATATCTTAATGTAAAATATAAAAATAAAACAAACAGAAAAATAAAAATAAAAATCACACCGTTTTACTCAATCTTACTTAGGCATTGTAAGAAAATAATGCATATTTTCAGCCAGGTGAGGTGGCTCACGCCTGTAATCCCAGCACTTTGGGAGGCCAAGGCAGGTGGATCACAAGGTCAGGAGTTCAAGACCAGCCTAACCAACATGGTGAAACCCCATCTCTAACAAAAATACAAAAAGTTAGCCGGGCATAGTAGTGGGCACCTTAGTCCCAGCTACTTGGGAGGCTGAGGCAGGAGAATCGCTTGAACCCGAGAGGCAGAGGTTACAGTGAGCCGAGATCACACCATTGTACTCCAGCCTGGGTGACAGAGCGAGACTCCATCTCAAAAAAAAAAAGCATATTTTCTATTAGGCTTTTCAGAATAAAACTATTTTTAAATAAAATAACACTTAAGCATTTAAAAGGTATAACAGCAAATCAAAATAGTTATGTCCCTTTTAAATTTCAATTGAATTCTTTTCCAAAATAGTTACTTTTATAGTCTTAGACAAGTAAAACCATAGCTTGTCTTATCTTTTACAAGTTCTCAAAGAAGAGAAACAAGACAAAAACAAGATAAACTTTCTGGATTAAACATTTAGAAATAAGAGAGGAAGAAATGATTTGCAAAGCCTCAGAAATCAAAACTCACAATAACATTTACAAATTTTATTACATGTATGTGGATCAAAAGATAATAATTGTTTAAAAAGGGATAGAAAACATGGGGCCGGGTATGATGGCTCATGCCTGTAATCCTAGCACTTTGGGAGGCCAAGGCAAGATGATTGCTTGAGTCCAGGATTGCAAGACCTTGTCCGTTAAAAAAAAAAAAAAATTAGCCAGGCATGGTGGCATACACCTATAGTCACAGGTACTCAGGAGGCTGAGCTATGATTGTGCCACTGCCTCCCCAGTCTGGTTGACAGAGCAAGACCCTGCCTTCAGAAGAAAAAAAAAATCAGTAAGGAAATAAGAAAAAAACATTTACCTCACCTTATGGATGTAAATACATTCTCATGCCACCGAATTGCTAGAAATGTTAACTTCAGGCATTCCCCAGAATAAAAAGTAAATGAACACAGGCAGCAGTCTCCAAATAACTGTAGACAAATTTAAGATACTTCAGTATAAAATTAATGTGAAAATAAATCAAGATACTAAACATATATATATATATTCCTCATCATAAACTAGTAAAAAATATTGAGATCTTGCTTATACTTTTTATTCTTAACATTAAGCTAAAGACTAAGTAATTTTTTTCTGAGCCAGAGGCAGGTCTCAAATATGAGGTTGTAGTTTATGCTCTCAAGGAAATATTGACATTTATTGTGACTATAACTGAAACTATACTTACATGTTTATTTTTCTCTTTTTATACTTTTATACTATTTAAATTAGTGCACCACCCTGAGAATGGGGAGGGGGGACAATAAAACTTTAAAATGCAATTTCTAACAATAGTGGTTTGGATAATAAAATGCTCGTCCATACATACAAAGAATACCAAGCAGCTATTTTAAATGTGTTTTGGTTTTTCAAGTTCATGAATCTTTTATTTCCCAATTAAATGGCATATTTAGTATCAATTCTAGCTTGTTAAATTACCAAACAAGAATATATATACACACATATATATATGTGTGTGTGTGTATATATATATATATTTTTTTTTTGAGACAGAGTTTCACTCTTGTTGCCCAGGCTGGAGTGTAATGGCATGATCTCGGCTCACCGCAACCTCCGCCTCCTGGGTTCAAGCGATTCTCCTGCCTCAGCCTCCCAAGTAGCTGGGATTACAGGCGCCACCACCGCGCCCGGCTAATTTTTTTGTATTTTTAGTAGAGACGGGGTTTCTCCATGTTGGTCAGGCTGGTCTTGAACTCTCGACCTCAGGTGATCCACCCGCCTCCGCCTCCCAAAGTGCTGGGATTACAGGCGTGAGCCAACGCGCCTGGCATAACAAGCTATATCTTTAAATCAAGGATAGAGAAAAGGAGTTCTAAGTTAAAACTACTTTTAATAAACACTTTTTAAAAATGTGACCCAAGAAACATAAAAATATCTTTTCCATATAAGAATTGCACAATTACTACGAAAATTTATGGTGACTAAAGATATACAGTTATACCATTATGCATTCTGCTAATCTGCTTCACAGATAAGAGTCTGAGACTGATTTTACCTCATTTTTTATAAAAACAGCATTCACTACAGCTTCTTTATCTTCAATGGAAGGCAAGAGAACTGCTTCTTCAGGTATGACCTGGGACCACCGACCCACCAATGAAAGGCTCTTAGAAGATAAGATACTCTTTAATTCCAAATATTCCCAAAGAAATATGCATCCAGGTGTTATGAGCAGAATTCTTTTCCCATTTCCAGATACATACAAATAAGGTCTCAAAGAGCTTGCTAAAAAAAATAACAAAAAATGTAATTAAACCTCTGAGGTCTAAATTCCCCCCAACGAAGTACATAATTTATGTATTCTTACAATAAAAAACGAAATAATGTTACCATTCAGGATGTCAAAACTAAGGCACTAGCAAAAAATTAAAAATACAACCCAGGCACAGCAGCTCATGCCTGTAATCCCAGCACTTTGGGAGGCTTAAGGAGACGGATCGCTTGAGCCCAAGAGGTCAAAGCTGCAGCTATGATCATGCCACTATACTTCAGCCTATGTGACAGAACAAGATCCTGTCTCTAAAAAAGAAAAAAGTACAAAAAATAGCAACATTTATCAAGTACTTATGTGATATTAGAAACCTATTATTATCACAGAAATATTAGGCATGCCAGAATTTTCTTCTTCAAGTTGAATCTCAGTATCACAGATAAACATGACCAAAAATACATACATATATATACACATACATGGAAATATATATACCTACAGATATACATATGCACATATACAGAAACACATTTTCAAGACAATAACAGAAAAATGTTTCATCATGTTCTCCTATTTTTCCTAGTTAAATGAATTTAAACAAATAAAAAAATTTCCCACCGACTGTAGCTTTGATCATTTCCTTAGGCTTTTCAGTTATTGGTATAGTTTTCAAACAATCTTGATCTTTGTTCCAAAGGAAAAGCTCTCCTGTAGTTAGTACCCCAGCCAGCCAGGCATCTGTTTCCAAAAATGAAATGCAATACTTATAATCTAATATTTTCTTTAATATCACCCTAAGTTATTAAAAAATACAGTTTTAGTCATTTGAAAATATCAGTACTACTTAACCATTAATGGACGTTGTTAGGACAATAACATCCTTCAAGAAAGGCTGCAGACTAGGAATTTTCTTCTTTATCTTTCCTGATAGCAAATTAATTTCATTTATGAATTTATCATCCAAAAGAAAAACAGCTTCTTTTTCCTAAGAGAAGAAACATGTGAAGGACTCAAGAGGTGTCCAAAATTAATTCAACTTACTGCCTAAATAAATTATCCAGAAACCAAAGCAACATTTAAGAAAGATTATCCATTTGACCACAAATCATAAAATGAACATTCAGCTTAATACGCTATAATAACCTGAACATTTTGAATTCTGTTTTAAGATACCACATTAGAATTAATAGGTAAGGTGACCTAATAGTTGTATTTCAATTTCTTTGAAGTTTAAAATTATAGGAGTGTCTTCTAATTCTGCTAGCCAAAACTGGTTTATCTATTTTTTAATCTTTTTTTGTTGTTATTGCCCAGCCTGGAGTGCAGCAGATATTTACAGGCACTATCCCACTACTAATAAGCAGGAGAGTTTTGACCTTGTCCATTTCTGATCTGGACCAGTTCACCATTCTTAGGCAACCTGGTGGTTACCCCAGCCCCTTGATCCTGGGAGGTCATCATATTGATACGGAATTTAGCACAGACACCTAATCGGTATGGCACACTGCAGCCCAGAACTCCTGGGCTCAAGCGATCCTCTCGCCTTAGCCTCCTGAGTAGCTGGGACCACAGGTGCATACCACTGCACCTGACTCTCATCAATTTTAACAGCAGTATGGGCCGCACGTGGTTGCTCACGCCTGTAATCCCAGCACTTTGGGAGGCTGAGGCGGGTGGATCATGAGGTCAGGAGATCAAGACCATCCTGGCTAACATGGTGAAACCTCATCTCCACTAAAAATACAAAAAATTAGCCGGGCGTGGTGGCGGGCACCTGTAGTCCCAGCTACTCAGGAGGCTGAGGCAGGAGAATGGTGTGAACCCGGGAGGCAGAGCTTGTAGTGAGCCAAGACTGCGCCACTGCACTCCAGCCTGGGTGACAGAGCAAGACTCTGCCTCAAAAAAAAAAACAGTAGTATGAGCAAGTTTTTAAATTATTCACTTAGATTAAAATAGATATAGCTTCTGAAATTCATAAATCCATGACTCTGCTCATCTTTTAATATCTAGAAAAAGTAGGCTGTTTTGAATTAACTGTTTTCATATATTCTAAGGCAGTGATTTTCAAAGCATAACTGAGCCAGCAGCATCAGCAACACCTCAGAAGTGAGGAGTTCAAGACCAGCCTGAACAACATGGTGAAATCCCATCTCTACTAAAAATACAAAAATTAGCTGAGCGTGGTGGCACGCGTCTGTAATCCCGCTACTCGGGAGGCTGAGGCAGGACAATCACTTGAACCTGGGAGGCTGAAGTTGCAGTGAGGCGAGAAGGTGTCATTACACTCCAGCCTGGGCAGCAAAGCCAGACTCCATCTCAACAACAACCAAAAAATACAAAATACAAAATATCCAACCCTACCGCAGACCTAATTAACTGAAAACTTTGGGAGTGGGGCCCAGCAATCTGTGTTTTAACCACCTCTCCAGATAATTCTGATACGTTGTAAAGTTTAAGAATTCCTGTTCTAGGGGAGTTAGTGATATAGTTTCTCAGAGGAAATGTAACACTTAATTTCAATGATCATTACAAATACAGTAGGGTTGCCTATTTTCCCTAAGTGGGGAATCTATGCCACATATTATGAATGGCATTCCTGGATTACTAACGTACTGTGGCCCATTTCTTCCATCCTAGTTCCAAGAACACTTCATAGCACAATCATGAAAACCACAATAGGAGGAAACACTCCACTAACTTCTGGTAAAGGAAAGCTCAGGACATTAAATTTTCCATTTTGATATATGATGCCATCTCAAACTTAAACTTGACTTAAACATAATATGAATAAGAAAGTTTAAGTAAAAATCTTCTAAACAAACCACTTAACATTCTGGAAAAACTAACTTGCTCATTATTATAAAGACAAAACACACACAAAACCCTGTTCAGTGTGCAGGTAGGTGATCCTCCTGTAGATCCTCCTCCAGTAGATGATGTTTTATTTACTTAAGATCATAGAACACTCCTATATTACAGGCAAAACACACATGCAACATATATAAAACTGGTACTGCTTGAATAAAGAAAAACCTACCTTTCCCAACCAGGAGACACGTGGCCATGGTTTTTTCTGCTTAATACTTGTTGATGTCAAAATTTCTAATCTTATCTCCATGTTTGTTAAGATATCAATGACCAATTAAGTTAAACAGTCCCAAGATTCTGTAAACAATAATAGTAATAATCATAAATGATCCATAATATTCACTGTTTTTTTTTTTTGTTTTTTTTTTTTTTGGTTTTTTGGTTTGTTTGTTTGTTTGTTTTGAGAGAGTTTCGCTCTGTTGCCCCAGCTGGAGTGCAGTGGTGCGATCTCAGCTCACTGCAACCTCCACCTCCCGGGTTCAAGTGATGCTCCTGCATTAGCCTCCCAAGTAGCTGGGACTACAAGCGTGTGCCACCGCCCTTGGCTAATTTTTTTGTTTGTTTGTTTGTTTGTCTGAGACGGAGTTTCGCTCTGTCCTCCAGGCTAGAGTGCAGTGGCGCTATCTCGGCTCACTGCAAGCTCCGCCTCCCGGGTTCACGCCATTCTCCTTCCTCAGCCTCCCAAGTAGCTGGGACTACAGGCGCCCGCCATTACGCCCGACTAATTTTTTGTATTTTTAGTAGAGGGGGTTTCACCATGTTAGCCAGGATGGTCTTGATTTCCTGACCTCGTGATTCACCCGTCTAGGCCTCCCAAAGTGCTGGGATTACAGGGGTGAGCCACCACGCCCGGCCACGCCTGGCTAATTTTTGTAATTTTTTTTTTTTTTTTTTAAGTAGAGATGGGGTTCACCATGTTGGCCAGGTTGGTTTCGAACTCCTGACCTCAAGTGATCCACCCACTCTAGCCTCCCAAAGTGCTGGGATAACAGGCATAATCTACTGCGTGTGGACCACTGAAGATCTTAACTGAAAATTTTCATAAAGTTTTGATTTATACTTTATTTTATTTCTGAGTTGGAGTTTTGCTCTTATCTCCCAGGCTGGAGTGCTGTGGCGCAATCTCGGCTCACTGCAACGTCCACCTCCCTGGTTCAAGCGATTCTCTTGCCTCAGCCTCCCGAGTAGCTGGGATTACAGGCATGCAGCACCACACCAGGCTAATTTTTTTGTATTTTTAGTAGAAACGGGGTTTCACCATGTTGGCCAGGCTGGTCTCGAACCCCTGACCATGGGTGATGCACCCGATTCAGCCTCCCAAAGTGCTGGGATTACAGGCGTGATCCACTGTGCTCAGGCAAAATAGATGGGGTTTTTTTGTTTGTTTGTTTTTTAATAAAATAGCTTTAAAAGAAAAACTACTCTGAGACAGCACACAAAGATCTATCAAGATGCTAGCTATCAGCCAGCAGGAAGGCCGAGATGGGAAGATCGCTTGAGGACAGGAGAGTTCCGGGCTGCAGTGAGCTGTGATTGTGCCTATGAGAGCCACTGCACTCCAGCGTGGGCAACATAGCGAAGACTTCGGCTCAAAAATAAATAAATACAATTACAAATAAAATAAATTCTTTCAAAAGGGTTAACCAAATGCAAGAGGAACACCGGCATTAGAAAAGCATCATTTGCAGCTCCTAATGAAATAACAAATCCAGTCAATAGTATCAGTGCTGCTAAAATTATTGAGTGAAAAAAGACTGGGAAATTTATGCACTGACATACCCCATATCCATTAGTCAATCTTCTTTTTTTTTTTTTTTTTTTTTTCTGAGACGGAGTCTTGCTCTGTAGCCCAGGCTGGAGTGCAGTGGCACCATCTCGGCTCACTGCAAGCTCCACGTCCTGGGTTCACGCCATTCTCCTGCCTCAGCCTCCCAAGTAGATGGGACTACAGGCGCCCGCCACCACGCCCGGCTAATTTTTTGTATTTTTAGTAGAGACGGGGTTTCACCGTGTTAGCCAGGATGGTCCTGACCTTGTGATCCGCCCGCCTCGGCCTCCCAAAGTGCTGGGATTACAGGCGTGAGCCAAAGCACCCAGCCTCATTAGTCAATCTTAAAATTGCTAACAGTGAGGAAAATTGACATTCTACTCCTCCGGATCCTGTTCAAGAGGCTGGGGGGCTCGGGTCCGGGGCCGAGGTGTGGCCCGAGCCTGGCACCACC